TCCAATATTGACTGGGCTTGGAGTGTTTTTGGGCTTGGAAATTCAGAATGACACCCCCTTTTTGCTAGCATACAAGCCCATTCTCTTTCTTTTCTTTATTTATTTCTTTCATCTTAATTATTTTGTTTAATTTTCCACAAAAATTAATTACCTATTTTAATCATAAAATAAATAATTCACAAAATACCAAAAAAAACATTTTTTAATAAAATATTTATTTTAATTTAATTAGAAATATAGGTTAAGTTAATTTCTTTTTCATAACTAAAATCAAATAGAAACTAGGTTTTAATTTTACAATTATATTTCTTTTCTCAAACAAAAAAAAAATACACAAAATCTTGTTTTCTTTGTAAAATATTTTTTTTTTGAAATTATTTAATTTAGCTAGATTAGGTTAATTTCAATTTCTTTTCCATAATTAAATGATTAGAATTAGGGCTTTAGTCATACATAATTTAATCAATTCTTTTCTCAAAAATAACTTAATTACCTTTTCAATTAGATTTTAGGGTTTTCAATTTCTCCTCGTATTTAATTCGCCGCACATTTAATTATTTCTTTTCCATTATTTTTGTAACTGTCGATGGTTTGTAATAGTTAAATTATGGTTTTATTTATTGCTTTAATCCCCGATTCTTTAGTTATGTAATTAATCCCCATCCCCGAAGCCTTGTAATAGCTAGGTTTATTTTTTCGCATTTTAAATTCCTGCAAATATTTAACTGTCTAGATGTATGCTAATAGGATTGTATGGGAAGATTACTTGAAATTAAAACGGTAGATCACCTAAATATGCAAATACTAAATAACTGAAACAATTCATATGCACATATTTACTCCTAGGGTTTACCTCACTTCGGTTGCCTTCGGTAAGCAATAATTAAGCATAGGAGATTTTAGTGGTTGCCCTCCAGTCTAAAAAGATCAAATTGTCCCATTCGAATGTTGCCTCGGAAATGTTGCATCGGAAAGATCTTAAGACTCTAGGGTTACTTTTAAAGTTTTCTAACTATTGCTTTAATGATTGTACTTGTAATTCTGGCAACATATACTTAATGTCACAGTGAATGTTATGACACCGTATCTGACAAATTGTACATAAACCAAACTGTAATTTAAAAGACAGTAAAGAACACAATCAATTGTTAACCCAGTTCAGTGTATAACAACACCTACATCTGGGGGCTACCAAGCCAGGGAGGAAATTCACTATAAGAGGTATTAATTTAGGAATAAACCAACCAGTTTATCTCCTTCACTTAAGACCTACCCAATGCAACTTCAGTCTAAGTCCTACTTAAACCTGAGTTCCTACTCACTCCCCCTCAATCACAGCAGTGATACTAATCTACTGATTAATAAGATTATGAAGACATTCTTCAATACACACGCTTGATTTTGCTTCAAAGCTTTAATCAAGAGACACAACACTCGTGCTTCAAAGCTTTGAGTGATAAAAAACCCTTACAACCAAATCCTACTCCAAGTCACTTATCAAGTGATAATTGCTTGGCTCACAGTAATTACTAAAACTATTACAACTACAAAATGCCTTATTGATCTTCTCTAAAAAGCGCTGCACACCATTAGGATTCGTGAGAAATATATATGCAGTCTATTCTTCATTTTGGGCTTCCATAAAAATAGCTAGGGTTAACCAAAGTTAACCTAAAGACTTGGTCTTGGGCTTTCCTCATAACAGATTAGGGTTAAGCAAGGTTAACCTAATATCCACGTGAGCATCTGATCTAGTCAATATACTTCAACTCAGAATAGCACACCAGATTCTTGAAAATTCTCAGGAACAATAAATCTGCACAACAACTTGATTAGTACAGGATGTCTTAACATTGGTTATGGCATCATGTATCCTGCTCACTGATTTTGGTAGAATTCAGTACATATGATCATATCTTAATCATCATGATATTCACTCATACTGAGTTGTTCCTGTAGAACATTCCTTCTGCAGAATTTGTCTTTATCCCAGAATGTTATGACATCAGTCATGACATTCGCAAATCTGGTTTTACCAAAAATTAATGCCAACAAGCAAACACTTATAGTACTTGTCCCTTTCGAATGTCCCTTACAACTCCAACGATGGTGCTACCTACTCCTTAATAGTAGGATAGGGTTGTCTAAAGGAAACGAGAACAAATAATCTTTTTTCGAGTAGGTAGAAACTTAAGTACTTGCTCAATAAAAAAAAAACTTCTTCACACAAACACCTTTCAAAACAAACTTTGTCACATCCTTGAGGACTAATACAAGGGTTATCACGAAGTAAAACATTTTCAAGACAAACACACACAAGCAATTTGAAAAAATGAGCAAGTTCTGTTTCACGACATGATCCATCACGAAATAGAGGTCTATGTGGATGACATGATAGACATATCTCAAACTGAAGAGGAACACCTTGACCATCTACATAAACTATTTGAAAGACTGAAGAAATACAAACTAATGCTGAACCCGAATAAATGCACTTTTGGAGTGAGGTCCGGCAAAATCTTAGGCTTCATTGTCAGCGGAAAAGGTATCAAAGTGGACCCTGCAAAGGTAAAAGAAATACAAGAAATGCCTACTCCTCACACTGAGAAGGAAGTCATGGGATTCTTAGGAAGCCTAAACTACATCGCTCGGTTCATTTCCCACCTAACCGCTACTTGTGAACCAATTTTTAAGTTACTGAAGAAAGATCATGTGGTAGAATGGAACAACGACTGCCAGGCTGCCTTCTGAAACAACCGGCTGAAAATCATCAAAACAATGAAGTCGCCATCGAACGTCTTTTATCCCACATGTAGGGAAAGGTAAACATTGAGAAAACCTAAGAAGGGAGAAGTCACGGTCTTGCGACCGAGAGATCGGGTAAGGGAGTTTGTTATGCGAGGGGAAGGTATTAGCACCCCACACGCTCGTAGTACTCTACGGTATCCACTCTTGTTATATATCTTATGGGTGTGTTTAATCTATGCTTATTGTTTATTACTGCTACTGAAGGGAAAATGCATGCAAAAGAAAGGGGGAAAATGTAGGGAAAATAAAATTGTGCTCGTTCGGGCCCTACCCCGATGCCTACGTATCCCTTTTAAGGAATCAGAGCAGCCATAGTTCGGCTTATATATTTTTGTTTGTTTGTATTTATTTAATGAACAACATTAATTTCGCCTTCTTCCGCAACTCGACCTTTGGAGACTTACGCGTCAGCACAGAAGTGAATTAATACGCTTCTTTTGAAAAGGTTTGGAGAAAATGTGCCTGGGCGCACAAAAAGTTTGAATTTGTTTGTTTTTGTAATGAACGATAGTAATTTCGCCTTCTGCCGCAACTCGCCCTTTGGAGATTTATGCGTCAGCACATAAGTGAATTAATATATTCTTTTGAAAAGAGTTTGAAAGGAAGGCCCGAAGGCAAAAACAATTTTATGTTTGTTGGTGTTTTTCTTGCTTGTAGAGAATAACTAGTTAATCTCAAGGGAGAGATTTTAGTCATTTCTCTACTCATTCGTGAAAGGATTCTTTGAGACTTGAACCATGCCAAGCCTTAGAATAAGAGAATAATAAGATCGAGAAGAAACCCGCTTATCATCTCCCAAACTTAGCAAAGACATGATTCTTGTCAGTAAATTTTTATGTATTTTTGAAGTTTGAAAAAAAGATTTTTTGTTTTTTATGCATATGCAAAAAGGGAAAGAAAAGTCACAGGGAGACCAGTCTATTTCTAAACCTAATTTTATCATGCATTGGTGGTCATATGTCAAGGATGAATGAAAGGGAAACATCTACCTAATGTTAGCATGCATATGGTTTGCGATAAAGCCCTGCTTCTCATGATTTTTAGAAAGTGGTAAAGCACGGAGATGAAGAATAACATAGAGTTGTGACGATACCGAATGGAGAAAGTCTGTTGCCTCTTCGAAACCACGCAAGTGATGGGAAAACTCTACGGAAGTTGCTCCACATGAGTGATCAAAGAATTAGTCTTCAAGCATTCCCCATCAAAAAAGTTGCATCATTACTATCATGAAATCTTGACTAAAATGATAATAAAATAATTGTTAAACAAAAAACAATTGAAAATTCTAGTAAAATTCTAAAGCAAAGACCTACAAAATTCTAAAATACTCTATTATTTTTGTATTATTTCTATTATCAATTAAGAGAAAAATTAGACTAGAAAAAACCTAAAATAAATAAATAAAAGTTAGAAGAGTCAGGGGGGTGCGAGCCTGAATTCAGGATGTTGGAAATACAAGCCCATCTCAGCATGGGGTCCATTAACCTTTTTTTTGTTCATATGTCAGAAGCTACAAAAAGCATCCTTTGGGCTGAGGTTCAAGAGCGATTTGGCACACCCAAAATAATTGGTTAGGGTTGAAGACAAACTTAATTCTTCAGAAGAACAAATCACGATGCTCTCTTTCTCTATTCTCTTTGACGATGCGGCACACGAGTTTCCGTTTCGGCTTTCATCATCAACCCGTCATTGTGAACATCCAATGCGCCGATCCTCTTCTCCTATTGTTCTCCATTAATCCCTTGCTCAGCTCACGGTCTTCTGATTCCTTACTTCATCTTCTCCAAATCCAGAAATACGTCGAGAACCTAGAGGCTTCTGAGTACGATTACACTATGACAGTGATGAATCAACACCTAGCGCCTTAAGGCTTTGAATCCACTCAGCATGTTCTATGATCCTGCATCAAGAAGGAGGTGAAACAATGATGATACTGGCCTATGGAGCCGAGGCTTACTCCAGCGACGGTTGCGAGGTGAATCCAAGTAGAAGACATAAAAGACTTAATATGAGATTATGTTCACTTAGGTAACGTTTTTTTCTTTAGTTCATCGCTTCTGGTTCCATCATCTTCCCTCTTCTATTTCTTGTCCGCCTCGATTGAATTTATGTGTTGTTGTTCTTGCGGTTTCCATTTTCTTGCAGTGATGTAGAGTAGAAGATGATGATTGAAAATTCAGAGAATTGATTGATTATGGAGGCGGAGAAGGTACGTTGATGTTGAAGGATGAAGAATCATGATGATGTTCGTGAAGAACTGTGGCTGGAGGCTTCAGAAGTAATGAAAGTGATTGTCAAGCAGTTATGGAGAATTTATGGTTGAAGAAGGGGTGTCGATTAAAAGGGAGGATGAAGGTTGGAGTTGATAAAGATTTCATGACCTATTGATTGAAGATGAAGATTCTGGTTGAGATTCAGTTGCAGAAAGTTGAGAGGAAATCGTTATAGAGGAGTGGCCGTTTGAAGGTATGGTCATGAAGCTTGAAGTTGGCTAGGGCGATGATACTGCTGAGGATGTTTAAGGGAATCGGGAGAATAATGATTTCTGGTGAGTTCTATAACCGATTTTTTCTGTTTTTTGTGTGTAAAAATTAATTGCCCTTTTTTTTTGGAATGAAAACTCGATTATATAGTCGGTTGAGTCTGAGAAGCTGGTTGGAGATTGATTAGGCGGTTAGAAGTTATGCAGGGCTGTTAGGAGTTTTGTTATGAAATTCTGTTATGGAATTGGTTAAAATGAGTTGTTATCAGTTAGAAAACAGTTAGAGATTGGTTATAGGTTCTGTTAGAAGTTTGCTAGGAGTTAGGAACTGTTAGGATATGGTTAGAGGTTTTAAATTCTGTTATAAAAATGAGAAACTTAGTTTTTCTGTTATGGTTAAAACAGTTGGTTAGGACTGTTGGAGATTGGTTAGGAAGCAGTTTTGGTTCTGTTATGACAGTTGGAAGTGGTTATTGAAGTTAGAAATCCTGTTGGCAGTTTAGTTAGCAGTTAGTTATGGTTCTTTTCTGCTATGCTACAATTTCTTAGAACTGAACTGGTCATTTCTTTTTTTGTTGAATGCAGGTTCTGTCTTTAAAATTTGAACAAGCGGAGGTATACCACCAGCAACGGTAATTGCCCATTTACTTTCATCATTTTCATTAGATAAAGGCAAAGCAATGCAATTGCATATTCTTGCTGTTGTTCTGATGAAGGGCTGAGAAGAGATATCAATAGTTGAACTCCTTCACGACCCTGAAGTGCACGCCATAGACTGCCTTCACTTTTGCACAGAGTCAACAGAGCTTTTATAAGCTCATCTTGCACTTCATTGGCAGCCATTGTTATCAAACCAACAAGCAAATGTTTTGCATCGGAATTTGCTAGTTTAGTTGTGAGTATGTTTTTTTTAGGAAGCTTTTGTGGCTTTTCAATGATGTAATGAGTTTAATCAACTTGGTAACATGGTTGGCATTTTGCACTCGTGTTATTTTGGAATGAATCACTAATGAAGTTTAGAACTTGAATGAACCTTTAATGTTTGAAAACCTTTGATCTTGAATGAAACAGTTTGGGTAATGAATGATGAAGCCATGACTTGTTTCTTAATAGAGTGCGGTAATTTTGAACAAATATACAATGATAGTAATGAAACTTGCTTTTAATTTGAACCTTTGATTCCACATATGCTTTCTCATGTCTTAAAATATCTTTAGATGTCAAGTATATCCAATAATTTCCAAATAACCTCTAAATCACGAAATATGGAATAATTTGGTCCACAAAAGTTAACTTGGTTTTCATCCACGAAATCTCACTGGAATCTTCCAATTTTGCTTGGATCAAATTATTGAACAAAACTGAAGCTCATTCTCACACAAATATAATGTTTTGAGGAACTGATAACGGAGATGGAAATATGGAAGAAGTATAACCAAGATATCCTTAAAACTACTAATCCACATTGACTTGTATTGTGAGCAAAAACTAACGATGATGAGAACAAAAATGGCCTTGATCAACATGAATCTATGGTACCATTCCTTATGCCATGACCTCATACTTTTCAATTCAACCCCACAAGTCCTTTGTCTTGTCAAAAAATGTCTTTGTGGGATCCTTGAAGAAGATAAAATTTGAAGCTTAGAAAGATATCCTATAATCATTTCTCATTGACGAACATCAACAAACTCACACACAAAATGCAAAACCTTAACCCACTTGTATTAGGTGCACAGTGACGACTTGAGACATGGATAGAATAATGTTCAAAATGTCCTCGAAATGAAACAAAGCATGATCTTCCAATAGACATAGGGAAATAAACCCAAATCTTCAGACTTAACAAATAAAACCTTGCAACTTGATTTTGAGATGAAGAGAATAACCTCGTAGCTTGATAAAGAAGAAATCCACAACAACCATCAATCAAAACCCTAAATTCACAATTCAATGTACCAGAAGAATCAGTTTTGTTTGATAAAAACCTCGAACCAAAAGAAAACCCGAGCTTCACAACCAATGATTCTCTGAACCATGATTCAACAAAACCTGAATTGGTTAATTGAAGAGTGGATGAATGCCATGTAAAAGTCATTAAGCCTGATCAAATGATAGGCACACTTATATGAGGAGACGTCTTGATTCAAAGACCATGTATGCTAAGTCACGCCCTTGAGTTCTTGACAAGAAAAACCTGTAACCTATTGTTTATCAGAAGATAATAACCTTGTTGCTTGAGGGAGAAGAAGTCCAAAAATGAGAATGAACCAAAACCTTAATTCCACAGCTCGCTGCCTGAATAAGAAATCATCCTTTATTGGATACGAGCACCTTAACCACTGTGAAACCCTAGTATCGCACAACCACTGAACTTTGAACCTCAGAGCTATATTGAATGAAATGTATGCCATGTTAGTGACCTAATGAAATAGATGTAGATGAATGCAAAAGTCTAAGCCAAAATAAAAGAAATTAAGAGGGCAAAATTTGGGGTGCAACAGCTGCCCCTATTTAATCGCCTTCAACCCAAAGGTGAGATTGGCGCAAGCCTTTCGAACCTTCAAGGTGGAAGAAGATTAAATACTAAAAGAACCCGAAAATTTGCGCTCCGAAGCTAGTCAGGTATTATTATATTTTTTTGTTTTCTTTGGATTGCAGTGATTAGCTGAGAAAATCTCTTGAATGTCAGGTCAAGGTTAGACATACACAAGAAAGAGACCGACCGAAGAAGGCTCTGACGAAGGAACACCAATCGAAGGCGAACTTACTGAGGAAAGACACCAAGCGAATGGGACTCCCGACAGATGATACCAGCCGAAGATGGATTTTAACAAATGATACCAGCCGAAGCGGGATTTTTAGCGAAGGATACCTGCCGAAGCGGGATTTTGAAAGATACCAGCCGAAGCGGGATTTTGAAAGATATCAGCCGAAGCGTGATTTTGAAAGATACCAGCCGAAGCGGGATTTTTGAAAGATACCAGCCGAAGCGGGATTTTGAAAGATACCAGCCGAAGCGGGATTTTGAAAGATACCTACCAAAGCAGGATTTTAACAAAGGGTACCAGCCGAAGCGGGATTTTAAAGAAGGATACCAGCCGAAGCGGGATTTTAAAGGATGCCAGCCGAAGGTGGACTTCAGGATAAAGAAACCAGCCGAAGGGGAATCTTCATCGAGGAATATTATGCCGAAGGTAGATTTTAAAGGATGCCAGCCGAAGGTGGACTTTAGGATAAAGAAACCAGCCGAAGGGGAATCTTCATCCAGGAATACTATATCGAAGGTAGATTCCTAAGAAAAGAACGTCGGTCGAAGGAGAACTTACAACTGCAAAGAGACCAGCCGAAGGGGACTCTCAACAAATGATACCAGCCGAAGGTGGATTTTAGGATAAAGAAACCAGCCGAAGGGGAATCTTTATCCAGGAATACTATGCCGAAGGTAGATTCCTAAGAAAAGAACGTCGGTCGAAGGCGAACTTACAACTACAAAGAGACCAGCCGAAGGGGACTCTCAACAAATGATAAAGGTATGCATATATGGTCAGAGTTAGATACACAAGAGCGAAGTTGATCATCAAGAAACAAATGTTTAGAATTGCTAGCAAACACAGGAACGAGACTAACCGAAGAAAGCCCCAATAAAAAAGGACGCATTCGCCTAAATAAGGATGCCAGACCACTGGACTTTGAAGAGATACTGAAAGACTCTTGATCATAAAAGGTTAGCTAAGCTAACGAAAGGAGGACCCGGCTAACGTGGATAAACCAAAACAAGGCACCGACTAAGCTGGACCTTCAAAGAGCACCGATCGAAGGTGAACTTTACAAGAGAAAGAGATTGGTCAAAGCAGATTTTAACAAAGAAAAACATGTTAGGCTTTCGATAGGTTGCAAATACGCAAGAACTAAAAATCCCTCAGGCCAGAGGCGGGGTGTTAATTCTTCAAGAGTGGCAATTGTCTGAATTACCACACACCAAGTATGGATACCCAAACACTTGAGAAGCAAGAAAGGTTATAAGCCAACTCTTACTCATACTCTAACGACAAAGCAAACGCGGGTAAAATAACCAAAGGCTTGCAAATGCAAGCGCAAACCACAAACTTATTGTGGAAATGGAGAAATACCAAAGACCCGATTGGTGGCGAATCAAAGCAAACTCCGATAGGGAAACATAATTGAATTACCCTAGGCTTGTTGTAGAGATAAATCAAATCTGAGTGCATAACAATCTGGTTACTGCAAGTGGACATAATTGGCTTATACTCATGCATGTTTGAATTTTTTTATAGCGTAATGCTCCATACAATGGAAATGCTACGCGTTTTAGTAGATGCAATGTAATGATGCATGTTTATTAATGCACTGGAAAACACACCAATAATCGACTGTTGAGAAGATAAAGAACTTCCGAACGATTATTTTGGCATATCTGATCTTCTGTGGATAAAAAGCAATTTGTACTTTAATGGGGAACCGAGATTTGGAACCGTTGACCCCTAAAGATCGATGTCACTGGGGAAATAACTTCCTGGGAAGATCATTACAAAATTAAATTGTAGTCCAGTGAAAATCTTGAATTCTGATCAAACCCTCAACTTCTTGGGGAGTAAATTCTTTATCCTCTATTGGAAAGAGGAAATTTTTTGCTGGGAATGGAAACTTCTGGCATAGGAATCCTTTGACAAAGATCACTTCTGTTGGGGGAGTATAGAAATAAAAAGAAGTCTACTCAGACCATCTTGGTCATCGGGATGGATAGGAATTTGTAAAAATCTGGAATAATCATCTAAATAGAAGAAGTGAGAGTGCTTAGCTAGTCGTTCAAGCATTTGTCCAATGAAAGGCAAAGGAACATGATATTTACGAGTGGCTTTGTTTAACTTTCTATAGTCGATGCACATCCTCCACCCGGTGTGAGTTCGTTGCGCTACAGATTCTCCTTTAGCATTGCTGACAACCGTAACACCTCCTTTCTTAGGTACGACATGTACTAGGCTAACCCATTTACTGTCGGATATTGGGTATATGATTCCTGCTTCTAGTAGATTTTCTACTTCCTTTTTGACTACATCGCTCAGAATGGGATTGATTCTTCTTTGATGTTCCCTAGAGGTTTTACAGTCTTCCTCCAGTATAATACGGTGAATGCAGATAGAAGGGCTTATTCCTTTTAGATCTGAGATGTTATATCCTAAAGCAGTCGGGTATTTTCTTAGGACATGTAATAATTTTTCATTTTCTATTTGCCCTAGGTCTGCATTGGCTATGACTGGTCGTTCAAGTTCTGTATCTAGGAATTCATATCTTAGGTCTTTTGGTAGTGTTTTGAGTTCTATGGCTGGCTTCTTTGGATAGGGTATAGTGTTAGGAATTAGAGATAGGCACTCACTCCGATTTTCATCTAGATATTCATGGCGCCAATTATCATCTTCGAGAATCAGAGGTATAGGAATCTCCAATACCTCTGAATAGGTGGTTTGTTGTTTCTCCAATACTTTTACGCATTTATCGATTTCATCTGGGAAACAGCATGAATCATCAATGGATGATGCCTTAAAGAATTTAGACAAGATGAATTCAACTTTTTCTTCTCCGACTTCGAAAGTCAGCTTTCCATTTTTAACATCTATTATGGCTCCTACAGTGGCTAGAAATGGTCTACCTAATATAATAGGAATATTGAAGTCTTCTTTAATGTCCATGATTATGAAATCAGTGGGGATATAGAATTGTCCTATACGTACAAGAACATTTTCTAACATACCAAAAGGAAATTTCAATGAAGATGTATTGTACTAGAGAAACTTTGAGGTGGTCTTGCTCAGATGCGTGGA